CTGTTCACTAATTTTTTTACCCAAATGTCACGCGAACAGTGTTATTTTTCAATATGTCATGCGGACAACTTCTGCCAGTAGCAAACTGTGGTAAAAAATGTCAGGCATTCACTTGGACAAGTCGTTGCATAGTGCAACGAACTACATGCTAGTTGTCATGTTGCTTTTCAACTGTACCCTATGTCTTCACACGCTGACCTCTATATCTTCAAACACTTCAATTTCTTTGTTTGGAGAGAAAGGAAGAAAAAAAAATGGAAGGAAAAAGGGAGGATGATTACGTTATAAAAAAAGAAAATAAAAATAGATGGTGAAATGTTAGCGTGTCTATGGTAAAAGGTGGACTTTTTGTTTTTGTTTTTTTGAAATACTAAAAGTTGAACTTTTGAAAAGAAAGTGAGAGAAAATACAATGAAGGAAACAACTTTTGGCAAATGAAAAAAATTACTATTACCAATAAAGAATAGAAGGGACGGGCGTGACCAGCTTTCATTATACCAAGATCTCTAGATTGTGTAGCGAACTTGGGTAAAAATTGTCACGTGTCCTATTTTTATTTGAGGAGACTGTCATTTTTTTTTATACCAAGTTTGCTAGACTGTAAAGCGAACTTGGGAGAGACTGTCATGTGTCCTGAAAATAATTAGAACAGATTGATATTTTGATCACATAGTTCGCTACTACCAATAGCGAACTAAGTGACCATCAGAAATGTGTCACGTCACCAAATGAAGTTCGCTACCTGCTGTAGCGAACTTGTATGTGTGACATAATTGAAAATAACACTATTCACGTGACATTTGAATAAAAAAATTAGTGAACAATGATATTTTGGTCATTATTCTGACAATATATATAATATGGATATCCAAGTTCTTTTATGGATTAGTAAAGAAACTGTTTGATAAAATAAAAAATAGTTTAACATAAAACTTGTTTTAGAAAAACCTATTTTTTTAAATAGGGACCAATTATGGATCAATTTGGCAGTGAGATGTCAAACATAAGGGGTGCTGACATTTGGCAGTGTGCCCGCTAACAAACTAACCAAATTATTTAATTTGAAAAAATTAATCAGCTAAATATATATGTGCATGTAATTGATTATGATAATTAGATAATTAAATCTAATTAACATGTGATAGTTATTTGAATTATAATGACTGATTAACTTTGATGTTTAAAGTCATTGTTTTGATTAATAAGATTCTTAGTACTTCTGAAAATAATTTTGAAGTCCAATTTAGCAAAATTCTAATATTTTATTTATCATGATTATGATAATGATGTGATGGATATTTGAATTATCATGATTGATTTAAATTGATTAACTTTGTATTCGAATTAACACTTAATAGCTTTAAGTTTAGTTGAAGCATGACGTGTAAAATCCGCACTTCCCTAAGTTCACCTATTTATCCTTGTATTAATTTATATTATGTCAATTCTGAGCAGATTTGGAACTAGCAAATGCGGAAATTTATCCTTGTAATTTGATGGTCGTTACGTGTTGCTATTATAATACGGTCTCTAGGAATTGTAATACAATAAAATATTAGATCAAATTAGAAATGAATGCTATATATAAGAACCAAGAATTTTATATTTTTCCCCCCTTTTATGTGACAATAATTTTTAATTTGATTCATATAGTACTTTACAGTAACTTCATGTCAATTGAAATTATAATGATTATAATAGATCGAAATGACAACATTGAAAATAATTGTCTATATAAAAATTAAATTAAAAATCAAATGTCATGTATAAAATAATGGTCGTTTTTGAATGCACATGATTCCATTCCCCTGCAAATTGTGTTTCCCAAGTGTGAGCTGTGTCTATCGAATTCCGGTATTATATAAACTTTCTAGTTATGTGCTGAATATATAATTCTTGTAACAGGCATGCTTCACGGCTTCTTTGAACTTAATCTTACTAAAATGTTATTAATTTCTTCAATCATTTGTATATATTGGAATTATTTAATGCCAAAGGGGCAACCAAATTCTGGTCTTGTAAACTTTGCTGAATACAATTCTTGCATCAAACATGCATCACATCTTCGTCATCTATGTATGCTGATGAGGACTGTCGGAAGTTCGAAGGACTCATGGCAAAACTAGGTCGGTGACGACAGCAAAGTATATGCAAAATATATAAAGCATGTCAAAGTGTACATAGATTAATTTTAATATGTATGATTATTTTTATTTTCAAGGTTGTTACCTGTTACTGTTACTGTTAGGGGGTGTTTGGTTCCGGGGACAAAAAATTTTACTAGGGAAATTGTTGAAAAATAATTTTAATAGAAAAAAGTTGTTTGGTATGCTTAAATATTACTGGAGAAATTGAGTTAAATTTTCTGAGTGTCTGAGTGTATGTTTGGTTGAAGTTAAAATATTGATGGAAAAATTAATTAAAAATACTAAAATACCCTTACTTGTAACATGTATGATTGGTATCCTTATTTTTGCAGTTACATAAAGTCAGTCAATCATAAATTGATGATATTTTTGTCTAATGTGGTTGTCCTATTTTTCATTTACCCAGCGAAATACAAAATACTTTTCTGATTAGCTATGCAAATAAGAAAGCAAGGCAAATATTTCAATTCTCTAAACCAAACATGGACGTATTCGTTTCCCAATGTCAGATGGATGGGAAAATATTACAAAACCGTGATCCAAACGCCTCCTTATAATACAGTTAATTAGTTGGAATCGTAATACAAAAATGTTATGATCGAATTAAAAATGATTATCATGTATACGGATAAAAACTATTATATATTTTTGGTTTCTGTATGTGACAATAGTTTTCAATTTAATTCATATACTAATACTGTACAGTAATTCTATGTCAATCTCATATTACTATAACTGCAATAGATTTTTAGTAATTATATTCATGGACTTTCTTATACAATTAATTTTTTCTGTACAGTTGGAGCTGTGTGTTGCAAGTGCCGTCACGTAATTCTGAACGGGAAAAGAAGTTAATTTGTGACTCGACAATGTGCTCAGATTAATTGCTTTGCTTCCACGTTCCAAGCTGTCTACCATGCACTAGTCAACTATACCTTAATCTCAACGAAAGCTTGTATGTGAGCAAGAGGAAAAGTTGTAAAGTACAAAAAAGAGAAGGAGAGCTTTGTTGAGAGATTAAACCAAAGATTGATTTCATATCAAGAAAATGAGCTTACTTGGTCAAATACTGATTCAGACAATCAAAACCTGACAAGTTTTTTATCCTTGATCAACTCTTCCACTTTTCCATTTTATTTTTCCTTTCCAAAAAAAATAAAAAAAATTCTATACCATCCTATGGCCCATATCTACATAAAGGATAAACGATAACGCTGCTTATTCTATTTCCCAACAAATTTACTCCTATCAGAACTCTCAACTCTTTCAATAAATAAAGTGTTAAGTTTGTTATGTACACATTCTTAACTTCATACTTTTTTAGTTGTCATTTTGCATGCACACATTTCATGTCTTCAGCTCTACACTATTATTATTGTGTATAGTGATTTGTTACCCTTACGATGTCTTTTTCGTAAACTCTGGCCATCACGCGTATTAATCTAGGATACAAATACTAACCCAAGTTAAACATTCTCAATCCTCTTGGATAGTTTAAAAAAAAATGGTACACAAAAATTCTCGTTCAAAGCTTGAGAAAGATAGAAAAACAAAAAGTTTTAGAAGAATTATGAGAGGAAAAAGAAGTATCATTTTCAATGACACAAGTGTCATTTTAGGTGTTTTACACAAAGTACTTTGTGTAAAACTGAAAAGTTACTTTTTTTTTCTCTCTCCCCAGTCACATCGCTGCTGCCGTGTAAAGTAAAAAAAAAAAAGTAACTTTTCAGAATTATACAGAGTACGACCGGTCGTACTCTGTGTAAATCACTAAAAGGATACAACTTGTATCCTTTTGAATGACACACAATAAATCCAATTATGAGTTGTCATTTTAGCTACAATCTGACTCCAAATAACATTACCAACACGAAAAATTGTTCTTTTTCTTTTGTTAGTTTGGGAATAGCTTCAATTAAAAGCAACCATCCTCTCGTGGGAACAAAGTGAAAGCAGCCAAAAATAGAGGAGCTTTATTTGTGAAAACATTTTGAACAAATTTGAAGTTTTCCACGATGGTTAGAAAGTGGACTCTTTCCTGACAAAAAAAAAAAAAAAATTCTCGAGAAAAAAAAATTCAAATGACTGGGGATTCCACCTTATCTGTATCAAGGTGGGTCCCAATTTCTACACAAGGCAACAAATCATATATTCAATGACTTGGGTCAACTCAAGCTGTTATAACGTGTTTACTCTGAAGAATAGAGTAAACATTTTTTTTATCCTGGTAATATCTATGAAATTCTTTTTAGTCCTTGACAATAAAAAAAGATTAAATTGGTCATGCAAAAAGGGCCACGTTACTGACGGAGGAGTTGACATAAGGACTAATGTGGCCCTTTTTTCATAATTTTAGGGACCAATTTGGTCATTTTTTATTGTCAGGGATTTCGTAGATATTGACAGAGACAAAAAGGGTGTTTACTCAAAAGAATATTTGCTATTTTATGACCCGTTGGATTGCCAACTAAAGTGGTCTCTTTCGTCAAAGATGAGATTTTAAGATCAATCCAACGGTCAACAACTCGTTTTGTAAACGTACAAGAATAAAACCAGAAACAATGGATGATTGAGATTTCATGGGTCAAATAAAAATAAATAAAAATATAAATAATATTCAAGCTTCAGGGCCATCTTCATAGAACCAACCTCGTAGTTTCTAGCTTGTCCAATTCTCTCTTTCTCTCTTTCTTTCTTTCTCAAATAGAACTCACAAAACACGTACCCTCAAAACGCGCTCTATGCCAATCACATACTCATAATAATAATAATAACAATAGTAAGACTTGTTGTGTTGCAGAGAAAGAATCATTAAGCTGGTACAATTGTTGCGATCTGTTGAACCAAAATCTAATGGCGGAAACATCTTCATCTTCGCGCAAGAGCAAGGAATGCTTGATCACTGAGTTGGAGGACATGGACGCGGCACAGCAACTTATGCAACTCAGCGACGAAGAAAACAACAACAACAACAACAACATTGTAATAAGCAGAAAGAGGAGCAGAAGCATGGATGAAGAAGAAGTTGATCAAAGGACAAGTAATGATACTATAATGGCGAAAATACAAGAGATTTTTGGCAAAGATATTGAAGTTTTTACTCCTAAGAAGCAGAGAAGATATCGGTCTCTCGTGAATATATACATGGAAACAAGTCCCATTAATGCTGGAAATGATAGAAGGGTGAGTGCCTGAGAAGGAAAAGGGTAAGGTAACAAGATATTTAGGACCCTAAACTAAGGTAGGAACTTAACTGGGTCAGTCCCAGATTTTTATTTTTATTTTTATTTTTATTTTTATTTTTATTTTATTTTTTTGAAAGTAGAGAAGTTTCTCTCGATCGTAATTAACTTTCATTGTCTTTCTATAGAGAAATCTGTCTCAACAGTACTGCGTTTGTTAATTAATCCGTTAGTTAGCTTGTGTTAATTTAGTCATCAATGTATTGATGATACAAAAGTAAAAAAAAAAAACGTATTTTAATTTGCGTGCGCAGGTTGTATTGGAATCATCTTGAAGCTTTAAGATGTCCAATTGACCCCATTTTCGTTTCTCTTATTAGTTCATTGCTTTGGTTGTCATCAACGCGAGAAGATTAGTATAATTCTGTGGTTTTTGATAGTTCACTATTTTTTCATGTTATCTACGGTCTCTTGTATATATATATGCTTTCTTTTGTTTAAGGAGGAACGAGAGATAAGTTTCTCAGGTCCCCAAATGCAAAGTGGTGTTGTTGGGTGTTTGTTTATGGAAAAGCTGGGGGTAGAATGTGCATATACTGCAAGTATGTGTTCGATTCTTTCCATTTTGGGAGGGGTTTAAAGTTTTAATTTTAGATTCCCGAACAAATTATCTCCTGCAAAGGATACCCGTAGTTTATCCACACAAAAAAAAGGATGTGTATATACTTAATTAGTCTGACGAAATATTGCAAAATGCAAGGATTTAGAAGTTTGGCTTTAATTTGCAAACAATTTACCACTCAGTCTCTTATATATGTATGGCTTTCAGAAATCAAGTATTAAGAGTACTTGGCTACAAATGAAAGTTGTCGGAGAAACTTGGTCATGCTTTTAAGAACCCTAACATCTTTTAAACTAGGAATTTTGTTGGGTATTGGATCTTGTATTATATTGTTTTGCTGAGAGAAAAAAAAGGGAACTAGGAAGAATTAGAGAAGTAAAGTACATGTGAACCCAACGGGAAGTTATTTCCATTTCTCAGGGAACATGTAAGTTCTTCACTGGATTTGACATAGGAAGAGCAGCTCCCTTCAGACCAACAGTTGTTGCATTAATTCAGCTTTGGCCCTTTTTGCCACTTCATCCTTCAAATTCTTAAGAGCTTCATCTTCAAGATATATATTTATCATATGGGGTAGATTATTCTTACATGTGGAAAAATAAGAAGTCCTACACTCATTTTAAGTTATTGATCCACTTTATCTAATAATTCACATAATTAATAAATTATAGCCATTAGATAAAATGTAGAATCAACCCTTAAGATTAAGAGTATAACGTTGCTATAAGATTATCCAAACGTTATCATATATAGTGTATAAATCATCCGCATGAATGCTAAAAACAGAAAGCTAAAAAGAGAACTAATTAAAATGTTGGATTAAAATATATATTTAAGAGAAAAATTAATTTGAACAATCAGGATTAATCAAGATCTGTTTTCGGGTGGCTGCATTATGAGCCCCAACAATTCGTCTTCATTTAGAAATCCCAATTTATCGTTTTTAATATTTTAGGATCATGTACAGTTTAATCTTAAAATTTTAAGGACAAAAAACACAATTTTCAAACTTTTTAAAATATGTACATCTAATTTATTTTGTTTAATTTTTTTATCAACGAAAGTTGTTATTAAACTTCTTACAACAACAACAAAAAATGGCATAAAAAATTACGACGTCATTAGCATATCAATTTCTATATTTATACGAATTACGTTACACATTTTAAAGTTTACAAATAAAAGTTGTGAGATAACACCTCAGTCACGATCGAGGAGAAAAACGGGACTTCTCCATTATCTACTATTCAATCATTTGTGCGGAAATTAATTAATATGCCAAATCGGGGCAACTAACTTCTGTCCTTAATTATAATATAAACTTTCTAGTTAATTATGTGTTGAATATACATAATTCTTGCAACAAACATGCTTCACGCCTTCACGGGTTCTTTGAGCTTGATCTAACTCAAAATTTATTTCTCTGTTTCAAGTATAACTTACAACAGTATGCCAGTTGGATGGTAATTATATAAAAACTACTTATAAATTTTTAAAAAAGAAAAATTACGAACAGCTAAATGAATAATTCATACGAAGAAAAAAATTAAAGCAGATAATGTGAAGACGAGCGACACATAAAAATTGATCAGGGAAAAAGATTGTAAACGTACCAAATATTCAAAGTTAAGTAGCCCAAAGGACAAAATATCTACGGAAAAGTATTTCTACAGCCACTTTAGATAAGGTTATCTACCGCCATCATTTTTAACTATGTTCTCCCGGGAGAACATAATAATAACATTAAAGTTGTTTTTTTCTCTCTCTTCACGTCGGCAAACAGGTTCTGAAGAATAACTGAGGAGAGAAAAAAAAAAAATTACTGTTATAACTATGTTTTGCTGGGAGAACATAATTAAAAATGATGGCTGTAGATAACCTTATATAAAGTGGCTGCAGAAATGTTTACTCCAAATATCTATCATCAGCATCATCAACTTATTAGTATTATTTACGATAATGTTGATCATTGACCATCCAGGAGGGACATTCTTTCTCCTTCAACCTTGAGCAGCCTGCAGTTGCCGCCAGTCATTGAGCCATTTTTTTTATATATATAAAAAATATGCAAAAATTCTGATCAAAACCATATAACGAAGGTCTAAGCCACAACTTTTGACTCGTCTATCTATGCCGATGAGGACTCTAGGAATTTCAAAGGATGCAAAGGCAAAACTAGCTAATCATCAATGCAAACTATGAGTTTGTATATATGATATCAATGTTATTGTTATGACATATTATTCTGATCTTGGACTTTACACTAATTAATGACACAATCTTTGAATTAAAAATGTAAGGAGAGTTTATCAGTTTAAATTAACATATACAATAAAAGATGGAGGAATAGTTGTAGCACCACTTCGCTCTCGTGTATATATATATATATATATATATATATATATATATATATATATATATATATATATATATTGGCCAGCATTCCTTGGTTTTTGTTAATTACTCACTTCAGTGCATAGTATCTCTATAGTTAATGGACTTTGATTTTTTCATGTTATATGAGAAATTATTTTCTCATATTGTGATTCAATTATGGTAGGTTCCACACTTATTAAAAAAGGGAGAAAAAAATTGCACACAAATCAAACGATCAAAATATTTATCAGTTTTTCCCATAGTTAATAGCAGGAAAAAGAAGCATAGAGCAGGAAAAAAAATTGCACACAAATCAAACTTTGACACTTTCCAAGAGGACCAATGGAACTTACCCAAAAAAAAATGAAAAGGAAAACTAGGAATTGTACGGCTTGAATACAGTCTAAAAGGTCAAAACAAATGGTTAGACCCTACGATCCTTAGTCTTAGAAGTTGCAGGCTGCACAAGGCAAGAAATCATGGCTCGAAACTCATTGTACCCAAAAAAGAAAGTTTTACTTTGATTTTGTAGCCAAACCTTTTACTTTGATTATTTCATTTTCATGTTTCATCCATCCCCGTGACTGAGGTCAACTTGTTTAGTTCATAATATCACGCCACGTGATATACACGTCTAATAGGCTAATATATTCAATCTGACTATGGTTGTTAATTAAATTCATTGGTTAGCGTTTACTACGTAATGTGTCGCACAAAGGAATAAGAAAATAAAGTATGTAAGAAAGTCAAAAATTATTTCATACCGTATCTGGAAGCTAGTATATTCTTCCAAGAGTCCTCACCTCATCCATTAACTCTCTCCTCCTCTCCAACTGAAGTAATACATAACAAATTTCTCCGTTGCAAATTTATTTACAATGAAAATTGATTATCTGTGTGTCGAAAATTAATATTTGTGACAAAATTTGTAATGAAATTTTTCGTCACAAATAAACTATTTTCTTAGGAAGCGTTTGGTAAAGGAAAAAAAAAATTATCCGAGAATTTCAATTTTTAAAAATATGATTTTTATATTCATTTTACGATAATATTCAAAAATTTAAAATTTAAAAAAATTTATTTTTCGGAAATCCGAGAAAAAACCATGTATCAAACGCCCTCTTATAGTAATGTTATTTAAAACGCCAAACACATGATCACATTAATTTTGATATTGTCGTTGAGGCGTTAGCAAGAGGAGCAGAAATACATACAGGGTGACAAGACCCATTAATGCGGGAAACGTTAGAAATATATGTGAAGGCTTGAGTTTATTCTACCATGATGAACCGTGTAGGAGATATATAGAAGAGACAGTACGCTCACACACTACTCGTTTATTTAATTTGTTTGACTTATATGAATTGTGAAATTATGTGACTATTAAGAGCCACACGTGAGAGTTGAGACAACCCTTACAACAAATTTAACCTCAAAAAGGCTAAAATGCAAGAAATTCTCTCTAAGTATGGGTGAGGTTTCAAAAACTCTTTTTATGCTTTTAAACTTACTGGGCTAGGAAGAAATTTGTTTTTTGCAATAGCAATAGTTTCCAGGCGAGTAGGCTCATTGTTTGCTTCTTAATTTTATTTGGTATCTTTTTTTGGTTATATGAAGTTATATCTACCATAACATGAATATATTCGCTTAGAGACGCATTTGATTTGAAGGGGCTGGGAAATTACATAATGACAAAAACAAATTACCAATAAAACATTTTATTTTATTTTAAATGGAGTTATTTTGCACACGTAGCATGTCGACCTGCTCTTCGTGTAGCAGCTGTTAAACATTTCCAATCCAATGACACGTTAATATTTTCTGAGATCAACCGCAACCATATATTAGATATATCCTGTTATTAAATTGATTTTATAACTATCATAAACACACATATTAATCAATGCATTCAGGGGAATACTCGTGATCTCCAAATAATTACCTATTACAATGATTCACAGATAGTATAAAAAAGTGTTATTTTGCAATGGCTCGTGTAGATAATTTTTTTTGAATTTATCATTAAAAAAAAAGTGTTGCAACAATGAGAACTGAGAAGAGTGAAATAGAGAATTCGGTCCACCAAAGAAAGTTGTGGGTACGTTAATTAAAAGAAGCATGTGAGCTTCTACGAAATGTGACTAAAATAAAGCACATGATGATGTTGGCATGAATTTAAATTTTTATTGAAAAGTATTATACGTCAAATTGTTAATACTTAATTTTGAATAATCTAGTTTGATCTCATGTGACTCAGCCATTACACACGTTACTCTTCTGCAGAATCCTACGCGTGTTCCTTCGAAATTATGGCAAGTTTCAAATAACTTTTTAACGAATCACATTGTATGATCAGACATTCCCTCTAGTTACTTCAGAAATTTTTATGAGAGAATGAAAAGGATGAGTGTCATGAAAAGAGGGAAGGGGAACAGCAAAATGGAGAGCGGAGTGTCACGTCCCGGGAAAATGAGCTTGACGAAAACGGTGGACCACAAGCCTTCGCGAATTACCCTTGGGTTCTTACGGCTTTTTGGAGGGCGAAACGAAATTTAACACCCAAAAATAAAATATGAAAAAAAAATTTGGGACCTATTATTTTCGTGGTGAAATAAATGAATATTCAAAAGACTAAAAACTTTAAAACAAAATGTTAATATAGAGGATATCCTACATTACACATAAACACGATGAAATGGCATGGCACGGTTGTTGAAATACACAGATGCGCAATGGTAAACTGATCGTAAATCACCATCCAGACATTACAATTTATGTAACCATACATCTAATTCAATTCATGAACAAAAATCTATAAACTAGATCTTAATTTGAGAAGACTAAGACCACAAAATTATGCAGATTGTATCTTTACGAGCCTTGAGGCCTGAACGCACTTCTTCAAGTTTCCCCTTTAAACTTGGCTTCATACATCTGCGGTTGCTGCAAGACAGAAGCAATTTCATATAATACTCATCAAGAGGAAAAATTTTACAGTATGACATTAGGGACTATTGAAATTAAAGAAGTCAGAGAGATAGGAATCAAGGGAATTATGATCTGTCATTATCAAACATGATATAAACACTATAACATCTTTATTTTAACTGACATTCCACTTCAAGAACTAGTTTAGTACATTTAATACAAACTCAGCCCAAAAACACTCCCAACTTAATAAGACTCATAATAAGAATCCTAATATTCTAACAGGCTGAAGCTTACTAAGCTCTCAGGTTTTTACATATAAATGCACTAAAAAGTAACTTAAAATTATACAAAAAATCATAGCTTTAAAAGACATCCCAAACATAGCTGGAGAGAAAAAAGTAAAATGAGACACATCCCAAAGACTGTTGGGGCAACAAAATAACATTATTGCATAGCTGGAGAACAAATAGTTCCTAAAAAAACCTGCTCTGATACCAAAACTCAAAAAACCCAGGGTTTTAAACAGAAATGTGGTGTTAATAGAAAAGGCGAACAGGTAGGATGGAGTTGGAATGGGAATACACCTACTGATAGAAATCTGAAAAAGACTTCAAAATCTAATAATAGAAATTAACTACCCTTCATTCCTTCAATGTAAAGGAAATAAGTTCAACTATATTAGCTAGACTGATGAAAAGTAAAACGAAAAAGTTTCTATTTATTGAGAGCTAACTGGATCCTTAAGTAACTTAATGACTTTTGACTAATTTTTATACTACCCTTAATTACATAGGCCTCTAATTACGATACTAGACTCTTCTAGACTTAATTAACTTACCAAATACAGGAAGCAATTACTCGAGTGGCTAAAGTCTATATACTCTGGGAATGAATTCTCTCATATATTATTTAACATGACCATGTCATGTTGAAGAATCCTAACCATACAAAGGTGAATGAATAGTGATAAGGGAAGAGAGAGAGAGAGAAAATATTAGAATAGGTAATTACAAAATCATCACCGTTGATTCACCCTTGTATAGTTAGGATTCTCCCACATGATATGGTCATGTTAAATAACACGAGGATCTACTCCCATATACTCTTAAATAATTATTATTCTTCAGCATCACACCCAATTTAATTTTTTGAGCTTTGTTTACCCTTATGACACATGTTAAGAAGCATTTATTACCCTTCGTTACAAAAAGGTCACCTTGTTTTCATTTTGTTTTCTGTTTTCAAAATTTTTGTAATTATTAGAGAAAACATATCAACTGAAAATGGAAACAGAAAAAAAAATCAAAGGCATCAACTTATTCCATATTACATTTTCAAATCTGAAGACAAAAAAGAAAGAAGCCAGCACGGAGCTCAACAATATTAAAAAATTACCATGAAGACAGCCGAAATTAACCTGCGTGCAAACCATCTCATGTGCATTGCACGTTGAGCAGCACTTGATGCTTCCACTGTTTCAAACCGCAAATACACAAAACCTGCACTTCTTCTGATTCAAGCCAAACCAGTTAAAGAATTACAATTCAAATGAAATGTGTAAATTGAAAAAAAGAAAAAGAAAAAGGGAAAGCACAAAGCAAAATTATTCATGATTATTGAAGCATGCTACACATTTATGAACTTACTTGTCGACATGAATATGCTTCACCCGGCCATACTTAGAACACTCTTCCTCTACATCCTCTTTGATGTCCATATCAAAATCTGGTTCCGTCTGTATCATAATATTAGTCATCAGTACTTTGTTAAACAAAACAGCACATGGTAGAAATATATAGTCAGTTAACCACAGACCTCGGTGCTTGGATCAAACATGTTCTTCAAAAGTAAACACTCGCTGGGGCTTCCTACAGGTTCTACCACTGGGGTAGGCATAACTTGTGTTGGTAGAACTGGTGCAGGTATAATACCTGGATTACCAATAGGCAAGCTAATAGCCTGCTGTGCAGGAACTGACCCATTCACAATGGGCAAACCCATGCTGCAACGTAGGAAATCTGTTAAGATAATGAATAGATTTACAAAATATAAGAGGAAAATATTATAAACAAACCTTGCAGAAATGTCAGAGCCAGCCAGCCTATGCATTAGCAATGCTCTTGAATGGGCATTTAAAGTCTGCAAAGAAAAACATTATAGATAAGCAATGTGCTCATTGTGAAGAAGAAAGATTATTGTTATTATACCACAAAAAATAATAATATTAATAAATAGAAAAGGAGAAGGACGAAGAAGCTTCGTAACCACCCCCAGATCTAGCCCCAAATAGAAAGAAATACAGTTTCTGACAGTAGAAAAGGACAAAGTGAAAGGAGCAGAGACAAAAGACACGGAAAAGAAAAACTAAGATGTTTAACCAGATTAGACTAGAGCTGGAAGTACCTGCTTATAACCTAAGCCTAGAACTTACTTATAACCTAAGTACAAAACCATCAGCAACACTAAAACTTCAATGCACCTATCTATCAAATAGTAATAATTTATAGCTAGAATTGTTATAGATAGTTTTCGAAGGTCGAAAAGAGATGTCTAGCAAAGTGCTAGTGATTGTATCTACGGAATAATGGTTGAGATAACTGGCAATGTATGGCACAGCCTCTCCAGCCAAAAACCCAGTAGGTAATAATTATGGGGGGGGGGGGGGGGGGGTGAACACCTAGACACAGCGAGTGCTCTGGATATGGTATTAGCTACACTCAGAATTGTAACTGTGTCCCCCTCGGGCCCTGTCCTGGCCTATATTAAGACTTTGGTGACAATTGACGAGATGGAAAGTGGTCCAGAGCTAGAATCTCGCAGGTGGTCGATGTGGATGAAATGGTGGCATTCAGGAGATTATGGGTTGTAGACCCATGACCCGGGTTGGTGGGCTAGGTCGGCTGGCGGTTTGAAGACCCAGAGAGTGCCTCAACGACCCAGTTCAGGTATCCCTTAGGTTACCCCCCCCCCCCCCCCCAAAAGCCCTAACCGGGTATCCTTCCCAGAACATACAGTAAAAAAACATAATAGAACACAAAATCCTACCAACTAGGCTTTTAACAACCTTAAAAAATAACCATAGACCTAAATTTTTAATAACTTTCAATTAAGAAAAATTGCAACATTATATGATGAGATATAGATTTCAATGACACGTCATCTTGTGAAAACCAATTTTTAAATGTTTTATAAACAACAGCAAACTTACCAATCCACCTTCATCGTCATCAAAGTCTGCAGATTTTGCAGTTGTATCTTGGTTTCCAACATGATCTGTTACAGACGAAACCTGAATTTGATGAACAACATCAGTCACAAACATAAGAACTAGCAAAGTAGTCATCAGCAAAATTGAGCAATTTTGTTGAAGTCAATTTGTTTTTCAACTTATGAGTGGGGGGAAAAACATAAATTTCTACCTTGATGGTCCTGCCAGCAATCTCCAATTTTCCATTTAAACTCTGAGCTGCCTTGGCATGCTCAAGATGGGCAAACTGTCCAATGAATGCAAATAAAAGAGATAAATAACAATATTACTGGAAGCAGTATTTTTCAAATTTAAGTGTTAGATACGAACTTGAACAAACCCAAAACCCTTGCAGTGTCCTGTCTCCAAGTCAAGAGGCAGTTGCACAACCTCAACCGGACCAAATGGCTCAAAAATCTACAACAAACACAAGAAGGATGTCAAAAGATTAAGAAACTATCAAATCAAGATTCTAATTGGTGACAACCTCCAACAAACTAGAAGCAGTTCAGAGAAATAAATTTCAGCAAACGATTGGTATTCAATAAAATCCTGCACATTCATATTCCATATAAAGGTAGTGCCAATATTCAAGACAAACATCAGCATCCTCACCACAACAGCCAACAAGAGAGCAAAAAAAGAAAAAAGAAAGAAAAAAAAAATATTACCTCTCGCAGCTGACTCTCAGTCATGTTGAAGTGAAGATTCCCCACATACAATTTTCTGTCCACAGCCCCATAAGGTCCTGCTACACCTGCAGCTCCACTGGAAGCATTAGACTGTACAAGGTTCTTTTCAGCCTCAGAAGGTTTGACCATTACAGGTTGCCCAAGAAGAAGTTGGCCAGAGAGAGCAATTGCCATTGGCACTGACATTGCATCATAAAATTCAATATACCTGCAGCCTCATCAAGAACTTGCATCAAGTTTTCATGACTAAAAAACAAACAGTTGCAATCAAAACTTACAAAGCATACAGCAAAGAGATGTAGGGAAACAAAAACTCTAGTGCAGACAGCTCAAGCTGAGTTTCTTTAGATGTATCTGACTCTAGAAGTAAATGTTAGCCTGTCATAATAAAAATACAAAACTAAAGCATATATTAATTATTAAATTGATAATTCAAACAAGAGTGAATAAGAGAAAACCATATGATAATAGAGAGATAGGGAACCCTTGAGACAGGGAGGATTAGCTACAGTAACTAATAACATTTGCTTATATATGTGCACGTGTGCAAATCAAATCATAAAAAAAAACCAACTTAAGCTGTCCTGGTATAGTAACTCACTTGTTAAATAATTCTAAAAGTCAAACAGAACTAAATCCATGAGCATCTCATACCACCTACAGCCATTTCTCCCACCCAAGAAAAAAAGAAGGAAGTCTCCTTCATAAAAACCTTATTGAGCCCCACAACCAGACTGGGTGACTTCCAGTTCATAAAGGGAGGAAAATAAACTAAAAAGGGGGCATCAGCATACAAATGAAATCCTCATTGTATGACATGTAGAAGAAGAATTTGGTAATAGGACCAAACAGAAAACCAGGATTATGTCATCTACCTTGAGTACGCAGCATGAATTGATTAAACATGAGTGCAAGGTATTCCCACCATCCCTCATCATTATCGCATTGCTAGTGCATTTAAGAATACAGTTAAACATGATTCATGGAAGTTGATTTCCTAATACCACAATAGCACATGCATATAAATGAGAAGTTATTTGGCAATAAACTACATACCCAACTCCTTTTGATCGTCTTGAGTTCCTATCCATGATCAGACGAACATCTCTCACCTGAAAATAAGGGACATTTAACTTAATAGAATAGAGGGAGTATCTCGTATATAGGCAGATGTAAGACATTCACCCGAAGCATGCAAACACCAAATTTGTGGCTTAGAAAATATCACCACATAACCTCTTATTCACTCAACATACATAGGCAGAATGTCAAGACATAACAAAGTTTCTACCCTATACAAAACTGAAGTTTGAAGAGGATATACTGCAACAGCAACCAAATCTCAGAATAAAATGCATTTATTATGCTTCTCATCATAATTGAGAAGCATAAATACACTAAAGTATAAAATAATACTAACAGTTTTCATGGAAATAGAAGTCATTACAGTTCAATGGAAACAGAAGTCATCTCAGTTCCAATGCCAAAAGTACATCAAAATTTAAAGCAACTGACCTTGCCAGCTTTTGAGAAGAACTCATATACATCTCTCTCCGTTGCTTTTAGAGGCATCTGTGATCACCACATAGCAAATTAGGCAATCATAAAAAAAAAAGACACCAAATATCCAAATATGTTATAGACATTATAAATTTATAATATTCAACAAACAAAAAAGGGAGCATCCAATCAACCTGGTAAGCAAAAACAGTTCTCTGATCCCTTTCTGGGTCTGCCTCAGGTTCCACAGCCTCTTTCTTATCCCGAAATCTCCTGCAACTCAAATTAAAATTAAGCTGTAAGAAAAAATAAGTAGAAAAGTTCATATTAGTTGAATTTGATATTCTGATAATATAATTTGTAGCATAACTCCAAACATTTATTATTTATATTATGGTCCAATACGGCACCTAATGTTGAGAGGAAGTAATGTCTAAAAATCTTACTGTTATTATAATTTGTAGGATAATTACAAACATACATGTTAATATTACAGTCCAAAACAGCACCTACTCTTGAGAGGAAGTAATGTCTCAAAATCTTACTGTCAATATAATTTCTAGCACAATGCCAAAAATACATTAAAATTACAGTCCAAAATGTTAACAACTATGTCTCAAATTCTCACCGTATCCATTATTCCAAAGCATATTTTGTCAACATAAGAGTCCTCCAAAAACAGCACCTCATAATCATATAACAATATGCATACATACCAGGAACTCTGGTCAGGATTTTTTCCTTTATTTCTCTTAGTAAAAATTAGCCAAAACTGCAGTCAGGAACCTATCATGTCACCTCGCTAGGTTTATGACCCATTGACAGTAAATTAATGATATAATAATACTTTGAACTAAATAGCAATAAATTAATGATATAATGCCTTGGCACCTATCACTTCAAGGCGTTAAAACTCCCTTGTACCTAAAGGGTGTCTTTCGTCTTTGACCAACTTGCTTAAAATATGTCAACTTAACTGATCCCTGAAAGAGCAATTAAATACTTACAATAGTGATGATATGAATGAGATCTCCAGCCATCTCAAGGTCATTAATGAAGGCAAGCAAATGACACAAACAATAAGCAAAATCGCATAAGATCTATCCTCAAACAAAAAGTAAAAAACCTGTTTGCCCTAACAAACAAACATTGGGGCGTTTTTTAAACAGAACAGAGCTCCTTTTAACATACATAAGAAAAATGAATTGAATAAAACACCAACCGGTTGCAACAAACATGAATAATAATAGGGAAATAATTAGTTAGATAGCAACACCACCAGGAACAAAACTAGGGGGAAAAAATATCGGAAAACGAATTTCAAGTGAACTAGTGGGCGAAAAGCAACAATTAGCTATAGAGAGAAACACAACAATCCAAAATAAAAGAACTGTAAATCACATCACCAATGCAAAACACTGGCAGGAACAACTAAGCCAGCACTGAAGTGAAAGAGTAAAACCGAATTCAGAAACAGCTTGCAAAAGAAAGAGCAATTACCGGCCATCTCGCATTTCGAAATCTCGCTCTCTGTCTCTATCTCTCTCGGAACGGCTCATGCTTCTCCTGGATCTCTCTTTCTCTTTCTCATCCTTTTCTTTCTCTCTCTCCCTCTCTCTTCTCTCGCGTTCCTTTTCCCTATCCTTATCCCTATCTCTCCTCTCCCTATCTTTATCCCTGTCTCTCCTCTCTCTATCCTTATCCCTCTCTTTGTTCCTCTCCCCGTCCTTCTCCCTGTGGCGGCCGGAGGAACGTTCTCGTTCTCGGTCTCTGTCGCGATCCTTTTTGGAGCCATTCTCGTCGTCTCCCCTCGACCTCTTGCTCCTCCGGTCATCGGTGTCCAGATCGTCGTCGACGTGCTTCCTGTAACTCCTATCGCTCTTGTCGTTGGTGTCCTTTTTCTTCTTAGAGGAATCTCTATCTTCCTGTTGCTCCTCCACTGTCTTCTCCAAGTACTCGTACTCGTCGAAGTCCATTGCCTACTTCCTTCAAGTTTCTCTTCCTTTGTGTGTGAGCGAGCGTGCGTGCAGCTGGAGCAAGATTGTAAATTTCTAGGGTTTTGGGTTTTCACAAATAGGAAAGAAGAGGGAGGGGTTTGGTTTGGTTGGTTCCTCCAGTCTCCGCAATCTCGAAACTTGAACTACAACCAAAAATAATATTTAAAATAAAATATTGTAAATTAATAATAATATTTTTGGTGGACAATAAGTAATAAATTAGGAAAAAAAGTTTTCGATGTTACTTTAGATAACTTTATCTAATGTTCATCGAAACGACGTCGTTTTGAGGTTGAAAAATTAAAAAATTAGAGTGATAAAGACTATTATAACCTTGAAATAAATTAAAATTATAAAAATACCATGATTTCCGTCCCAAAACGACGTCGTTTTGATGAACATTAGACAAAGTTATCTAAAGTAACATCAGAAAAAATAAATCCAATAAATTAACTGAAACCAAAATAGAACATTAGAAATCAATTACAATTAAAACCTTATAAAAAATGGGTTTTATAATTCTCATTTAACATGAGAATTCAAATTTTCCTACACACTCTTCGATTTTCGTGCTAATATGGGTCCTACATATAATTTTTTCTAACACATGGGTCTCACATGTTTTTTATCTCTACAACATGAGAATTGAATTCTCATTTAACATGAGAAAATCAAACCCCATAAAAAATATACTTAAAAATAAAAACATGGAAGTTCTGAAGTACAGCTTTTGTCTTTCATTTTAGTACTTGTACCGGAGGTCTTTTTCTCAGTTTTTTTTTAAAATAAAAATTAGGTCAAATAAATTTTTATAAAAATTCTTATAATAAAAAAATTATTCTCAAACTAAAAAAAAAAAAATAACTTTAAAAACAAAACTGTATGATAATTATATAAATTTTTAACTTAAAAATTACTTAAAACTAATTATTTCAAAAAAGCACACATTTTAAACAAAGCAGAAACAATTTAAAAAAGCTCTTCCTAAGAGCTTTTGGCTTTTTGCCTTTTTTGGTAAGTCTTTTTTTTTTTAATTTGGATGTTTTTATGTGAAAAAGTGGTCATGTTATTTAATGACAATCACTCATTATTGATGATGAGATAAAAAAGAAAAAATGTATGATTTTTAAATGGGTGGTTATCATCAAATAACATGACCACTTTTTTTTTGGTACATTGCCAGGAGGTATCCTCATTCAACCTTCTCCGGGCTCCATGCCCTCGGGGTACGGCCCGTTTGGGCTAGCCCCTCATTGTAACAGTGGGTGCACTAAGCTTCGCAACCGGAGAAAGGACGAGACTAATCCCCCAACCGAAGATTTTTTGGCTTATCCTCTAGCCCCAAAAATTTTCCAAGAAACTGCTTGAGGCAGGGTTTGATCCCTGCACCAAGCAATCCCTTGGGAGCTCAGCTACCAACTGAGCTACCATTGGGGATTTACATGACCATTTTTTACAAGGAGAGGATCCACGTTCTTTTTTTTAGCTTATATTCTCCTTACAAGTAGAAGTTACATCAAACAAGTTTTTAGCTATTATAATAAAAAGAGTTTTTTTTTTTAATGAATGAAAAGATCAAAAGCCAAAAGTTTCTAAGAGAAGTTTTTTTAAGTTGTATCAGTTTTTTTTAAAATGTGTCTTTTTTTGAAATGAACAACTTTTAAGTAATTTTTAAGCTACAAAATTTATATAATTATAAGAAAGCTTACAGCCTTTTTTTTTTTACTTTAGCTTAAAAGTAGTTTTTATCTTTAAAAAAAAGTGTCAAACAATCTCTTAGATTATGAGTATTTTATTTTTTATTTTTTTTTTGGTGTGGGAGTATTTTATTTTATTTTTTTTAACTTAAAAAAAATGTAAAATATAATTTTGAAATTTTTTAATATCTTTATTCTTTATTCTTTATTTTTCATTAAATTTTAATAAAAATTATCACGTGAAAATTTTGTGACTGTTTTGTACAGTTTATTTTAATAAAAATAAAAAATAATAGTATATTTTTATTAGTGTTCAAGAAAAAGTTTACTTTATTATTATCAACTTATGATTATAGATGTTTTAATTCTGAAACTTCAAAAACGTGATTTTAATGTAGTAAATTTTATTAGGTTCATAAAAGTCAAATAAAATGACAAAATACACGTTAATAGTTTATAAATCTCGTTGTGTGTTGTTTAAGGACCTATTTGGTATCATGTATAAGGCTTAATGGTATAATCATGACATTTTTTTTTTTGTATAACTAATCATGACATTTTTTTTTTTGTATAACTAATCATGACATTTTTAGTTGTTTGGTGTGACCGTCGTATAATATAAGTTTATACAATGTAATCTCTTAACACATCAAAATGATGTATAACTTAATCAAGCCTAAAAGGAAGAATTAGGCCCTACAAGGTGTTGACGTGTTAATATTACTGACTAGTGCAATTTTTAATAATTAATATATTATTTTAATATTAAAATAAAAAAAATTCTTTTTAATATATATTTTTATAATATTGGATTTTTGTATTTTATAAATATTAATATATTTTTTAAACACGGTGATGAATAGATTTTTATAAAAGTTAAAACCATATAACATATTTAGAATAAGGGAAAAATTATTCTTATGCTACATGTAGGGGTGTAAATGGGCCAGGCTGGCCCAGCCCAGCCTACGGCCCGGCCTACATTGAGCCCAGCTCAGGCCCGGCCTTTCAGAAAAATAGAGTAGGCTTAGGCTTATAAAAAAGCTTTTTTAATAAATAGGCCATAGGCCAATTTTGTCAAGCCCGGCCTACAGCCTTGTAGGCTGGCCTATTTAATTTATTAAAATAAAATAATAAAAAAATATTTATTTTATGTGACAAAGACACAAAGTACCAAATACCAATATCTCTTACTTTTTGTGCTATTTTATTTTATGAAAGGAAAACTTGTATAATGTCTCCAAATTTTACATGTTGTTGCAGCTTAATACCATGGAGCAATGGGTACCTTGCTGGATTATGATGTTACTGATGAAGATCTTTCAGTAATACTCTTCTTTCCCTTGTCTTGATGGTGGTTTAAAGATTTTTAGATGAATGACGTTCTCTTGTAGACTTTATTTCAGCATCCAGTAATTGTATTTTTCTTATTTTTCTCATTTCTTTGACTCTATTCCTCTATGATATACATTCTAGAACTGAGGTATTATGTTGACTCTTTCTTGTTTGTCATTTTTTTCTTATGAGAAGTACTAGTGCATTCATCAATGGAACTTTCTTTGCTCTATACAATTTTTTTTTTTGCTTAGTATATATAGTGGGAGGCCTACAAGGCCTGTAGGCCATGTAAGGCTTTCTTATTTTTGATAATGGGCCGGGCTTGGCCTACAAATAAAGCCTTTAATAGGCCAGATAGGCTGAATTTTTTTTTACGTAGGCTTGGGTCAGGATGGCCAAAGCCCAGCCCAGCCCAGCCCATTTACACCCCTAGCTACATGTGATAATTTTCTCTCCTACACACCATTCGATAACTGTGTCATCTTTTTTTTTTTTTTTTCTTTTTTTAGGTGGTGGAGCCCACAAATTTATCTCTATGACATGAGATAACTTATCTCCTTTAACATGAGATTAATAAATCCCTTAGAATAATTACACAAATTTTTCATTAAAAGGATATTTTTGTTATAAATATTTATTTTTATCTTATCTAGTATTATACAGTGCATTATCAAATGCTGGATGAAATTATCTTATAGGATATATTATCTTATATAATATTATTTCAAATGCTATATAGTATTAAAATTTAATCATATCTTATACTACAAGGCCTCCATCAAAGATGACCTAAGTGTTAATGTCAAAGTACACAGCATTTTAAACTGAAGGGATAAATTGAATTTATTTATTTTTGGTAAACGAAATAAATTTTTTAAATATTTATAATAATACACAAAATCACATAAATCAAAATCTAAAAATATCGCTAAGATGCACGTAATGCAAGTTGAATTAATAACAAATGATTATTATATATGGGCGTTTTTTTTCTTTAATTTGGCATTCGCATGAAATAGGCCGATGGTTAATGTATTCAAATTTTAAGGAGTAAATACTATTTTCGGTCCTCAGCAAATTTTACAATGTCCATTTTAGTCCCTAGCAAATAAAAAGGCTATTCGTGGTACCTAAGAAATTCAAAGTGAACTCATTTTAGTTCTTTTGAGGGACTAATGTGGGTCTTTTTTAATTTGTGAGGAACCACAATTTCAACTAAATGAGTCCATTTTGAATTTCTTAGGTATCACGGATACCCTTTTTATTTGCTAGGAACTAAAGCGGACATCATGAAATTTGCTGAGGACCACCAAGGGTATTTACTAAATTTTAAATAGTTAGAATCTAATTCAAATTTGAAATTTAAATGATAAAATATTTCTTTCATCCTTAAATAACGAGTGGTAATATATTAATTACACTTGTTTTAAAAATAAAATAAATATAAATTATACTTTTCACCTTTCTTTTCTTGTAGATAAATAGGGGTAAAGCTAAGACAAACAAAATTAAATTATTACACGATAGCTAATTAAATCAGAACCAAGATAAAAAGGGCAATCAACTGATAAGAGTTATTGAATATCCGTGGGAGTCAATGAACACCGTTTATTTTATTTATTTTTCTACTTCGATTTCCATTTTTATTAAACGCATGTTAATTGTTCTTTCTTTGGAAATGAGTCATTTGTATTCACCTTTACTATAAACAAACATGCAAAGGAATATTGTCATGTCATGATTATACGATATGAAATGATTTTAGTCATGAAGGAACAAATCAATGGTAATGGTTTTGTTTCGTAACTTCTTATCATAATATATTTTTCTCTTCCTTCCCTCATCATCATTAATTCATTTTTATATGGTAATGATTTTTTTACTTTAAATGGTTATGTTAAATAACAAGAGGATTTATACTCAATAAACAAAAATATTTTTGGTACTACGAATGTACCAAGTGATCAGTGTGTCATTTACCAAAAATGAAAAAGTAACATATTTACACTATATGTATCTTTATGGTTATTTCCTTTCACATCTCTCTTTTTTCCATTTTTGGTAAAGGAGTGCATACTTTT